ACCGAGCACCTTCAAAACACCAGATTTTGACGTCGAGACATCAAACCGGCCAAGAAAATTTGATAAATAAAAAAGCCAATGACACATTCAAAGGTTGTAAAATATCGAGAGGCAGCAGCACCTTCAAACGCATCATTGGTTTCGAGTTAAAATTTTGAGTGTAAAATTTTTTTCTCCCTCAGTCATGTGACTGCCTACACGATGCCATGCAAAAGCAATCACATAACCCAGAGTCGGGGATTTTAATGGATGTCGTTCAGATCGAGTGCGGCAAACCACCAGCCAAGCACACATTCAAGGGTAGGTTCAATAATGCCTAAGGCATCACCTTGCCCATCCCTATCATCACATGCAAGACACCGAGCCAAGTGGCATCCATTAAAATCCTCGTGTTGACCGCGGGCACTGTGGTGTCACCCGTCAACATGCAACCATCACAAACTGGAAGAACAACCATATCCATAGGGACCAACTCCAGGAACATGATGCCCGCATGCCTATTGCCACTGCAAAAAGTGCACGCGTTGTTGGAAAAATCCAACGCTGGTTCACCGTTTTATAACTCTCCTCACACCTCAACAAGAACAAAGTCACCCGGGAGCACTTAAAATCGAGAGGGACAAAGGAAAATGCACCCAATAGACCCTGCCCATGCATCGTTGATGCAAGAATAAGCCACGCCACGATGCCCACAAATTTCCGAGGGACGCACCGAGACTCGGCCGAAGTCGGCCAACATTCGGTTTCTGGATAATTGACGAATCAATAAACCCAATGCCATGGAAAACCAAGCCACACAAGTGAGGGGAGACTTGCATGAGCATGGGGGAGGGGCCCCAAGGCAGCACCGCACCTCCCACTGTGGGCGTGGTTGGTGAGGTGCAGCCCCCCCCTATAATAGGTTATTATGCAAAAGCCAAAATTGTAGTAGTAGATACCTTTTTTCTGAGCAGACATAAGTCCATATCGGGACCTAGAGATCGAATTTTGACGTGATTTTTTGCAGGGAGGCTCACAAACACAATATATTCACGTCCACAAAGTTTTAGATTTTTTCTCCAAGGGATGAATTTTTAATGAATTTTTGAATCGGCAGATTATGAAAAACCGGGGAAAATAGAAAAAGGCACCTAGAGATCGAATTTTGACCTGATTTTTTGCAGGCATTCACACAAAATAACACCAAATGTGTCTGCAAAGTTTCGTTACATTTCCCCAAGGGAATGATTTATAATGAATTTTTCTCCGAATCATCGCACCATGGTGCACCTTGATGCCCACCTTGGTGCCTCTTGATACCCACCTTGGTGCTTCTTGATACCCACCTTGGTGCCTCTTGGTGCCTCTTGGTGCCCACCTTGGTGCCTCTTGATGCCCACCATGGTGCACCTTGATGCACACCTTGGTGCCTCTTGGTGCCTCTTGGTGCCCACCTTGGTGCCTCTTGATGCCCACCATGGTGCACCTTGATGCACACCTTGGTGCCTCTTGATGCCCACCTTGGTGCCTCTTGATACCCACCTTGGTGCCTCTTGATGCCCACCTTGGTGCCTCTTGATACCCACCTTGGTGCCTCTTGGTGCCCACCTTGGTGCCTCTTGCTACCCACCATGGTGCCTCTTGGTGCCCACCATGGTGCCTCTTGGTGCCCACCATGGTGCACCTTGATGCACACCTTGGTGCCTCTTGATGCCCACCTTGGTGCCTCTTGATGCCCACCTTGGTGCCTCTTGATACCCACCTTGGTGCCTCTTGGTGCCCACCATGGTGCCTCTTGGTGCCCACCATGGTGCACCTTCATGCACACCTTGGTGCCTCTTGATGCCCACCTTGGTCCCTCTTGATACCCACCATGGTGCACCTTGGTGCCTCTTGGTGCCCACCTTGGTGCCTCTTGATGCCCACCATGGTGCACCTTGATGCCCACCTTGGTGCCTCTTGGTGCCCATCATGGTGCCTCTTCATGCCCACCCTGGTGCCTACCTGGTGCGTTTTTATGCACCCTGGTGCCCTCCTGGTGCGTTTTTATGCACCCTGGTGCCCTCCTGGTGCGTTTTTATGCACCCTGGTGCCCTCCTGGTGCGTTTTTATGCACCATGGTGCCTACTTGGTGCGTTTTTCGCACCCTGGTGCCCTCCTGGTGCGTTTTTATGCACCCTGGTGCCCTCCTGGTGCGTTTTTATGCACCCTGGTGCCTACTTGGTGCGTTTTTATGCACCATGGTGCCCTCCTGGTGCGTTTTTATGCACCATGGTGCCCTCCTGGTGCGTTTTTATGCACCATGGTGCCCTCCTGGTGCGTTTTTCGCACCCTGGTGCCCTCATGGTGCGTTTTTATGCACCATGGTGCCCTCTTGGTGCGTTTTTTTGCACCATGGTGCCCTCTTGGTGCGTTTTTCGCACCATGGTGCCCTCTTGGTGCGTTTTTATGCACCATGGTGCCCTCTTGGTGCGTTTTTCGCACCCTGGTGCCCTCCTGGTGCGTTTTTATGCACCCTGGT